CTAGGGTAGCCATACCCGACAGACGTTGCACTGAGAGGTCCAGCAGCTGGATGAGAAGCAGGCAGAAGATGAAAGAAGCTTCTGTTGTTTAGACAAACTTATGGGCCACCCCCTTTCCAAGTTGTGAATGGTTCATATTGAGTCCACCCACTGGGAGTGAGGGGCAATCGCCAGAAACAGCTTAGCCAGAATGAAGCCCTCACCTCAAATGCTAGTCACCAGGAATGTCTCTCCATGTCCCTACGGCCATGGCCCCATGTCTGGTGTGCACATATCTGGTAAACCATTCTATGGGGTGCATTAGTAAGAGGGTGAAGTGTGATCTTATTAATTTAGCCTTTTATGGGACACCACAAACAAAACAGGATGACTTTGGACTCAGAAGGCCAAAGAGCCTACTGTGGGTACCGCCCTGGTAGCTTAGTCTGATATACCCTGAGCATTTGTCTACCATTTGTGACTAAGGGCAACACCTTTGTTTTTAGAGCCTGGAACTGGGAAAGAATGAAATCACCCCACCTGGAAAAAATATATATATACTAGACATTGGTTTTCATCTGAGTGCTTAGCAAAATGTCTCCAGAAATGTTTTGAAGGGTTGTGATCTCCAATTCGCAGAGCATGTTAGGCCCTGCAATGTACAGAGGGGTTGAAAGCCAGAAGTCTGCAGTCTCAGCCCAGCACATGGCACAGAGTACAGACCACAGGGTGGCACCTGCCAACCATGCATACTTTAACTTTGCTGAGATTCAGCAAAGTGAAGGACAGTCTCTTGGGTGCTTTTCCCTAAATAAACCATTGTCTCTTCCTCCCCTCCCCCCAACAGAGCTTGCATACTGCCCACCAATTCTTCATCCATCTACTTGTCCATTATCCCTGGTGGAAGGTTCGACTGTGTGTGTGTGTGTGTTCCAAAATAATTCTCCAGGTTGTTACCTGAGAATCATGCAGATGGCTTGCTGGAAGGCCAGTGAACGAGAAGTTCTGGGTGATATCAGTGAATGAATTTTCAGAAACCTTCCCGGGAGGGTCTCAGTATCCAGACTCTCAGGAATCATGGCCCCCAGTGAGCTGAGCCTGGGTCCCAGTTCCTTATCACTTTCACCAAATGGGTCCTGGGAGTGCACCGAGCCTTTGGGACCTCAGTAGCCACTTCTCGGCTGAATCTCCTGGCTGGAGATTGGCAGAGGGGGGTTCTTGATGCAGAAGCTTCCTGGAATTTCCAGGGCTGAATGGGACCCTAGGGCTGAATGTGCCGGGCCAAGCATTCAGGGGTCATGTAGATGGGCCACCCAGGCCTTCCCACCCAGGGCAGCTCCAAAGAACTTAAAGCAGAGGCGGACCTCCAACTTGGGGTGCATGGAAGAAAGACATTTCTTCATCAACATGCCAACCAGAAGGCAGGCCTAGCTCCCAGCAGAGAGCACTGAATCAATTGGAATTGAATCACGGATATAATTAATTTAATGTGTTTAAATGATTTTCCGTATAGTAAATGTGCTGAATGAGGGTGACCCGGAATGCAGCGTCTGCCTGAGAGGAGAAAAATGGAGACCATGTGTGCCTGATAATGAAAACCTTCAGAAAAAAAAGGAAAATGTTTCCATTTATTTCTTCTTCTCTCTCTCTTATTGATGGCTAGATTTGGACTTCTGTGGTTTCCTTGGACCACAGGGGCACTTTTGCCAGATATCACGTGTGTGTGTGTGTGTGTGTGTGTGTGTGTGTGTGTGTGTGTGTGTGTGTGTGTGAGAGAGAGAGAGAGGAAAGAGAGAGAAAGAGAGAGAGAAAGAGAGAGAGAAGGAGGAGGAGGAGGAGTAGGATGAAGAGGAGGAGAAGGAAGAAAAACAAGACTAAGAAACTTCAAAACCTTTCTCAATGAAAGGCAGGCCTGAAGAGGACATGGCATAGAGATGGAAGAGGCATGCCCAGTCTGGCTCCTAACATCAGGGTTCTGATGAGACAAAGTGTCTCATCTAGTGACTTCAAGTCACCTCCCTTGTCTGGACCTCACAAAGGCTTTGAAGCTGGGGATCTTCAAGCCTGCTCTTCACTGAATCACAAAACAGGAGCAGGTGTCAAGGAATTTCCCATTCAAAACCATCTCCCAAGCCTTGGAGAGCATTTTAGATAGTCCTGCTTATCAAGTATTTGGCTTGGTTGGAAGGGAGAGCTTACAAATGGTTATGAACCATCTCCTGGGAAATAGCACCATGTAACTAGACAAAATGTTGCATCTGGGGCTTTAGAGGGGTACAAAGACTTCCTCGATTCTCTATACATTCACTGTTCATCCACCTCAGCTTCGGATTCCAAATCAGATGCAAAGCACAAAATAAGTGTGCCATGTTTAAAACAGCCCAACACCATCATGGCTCCACCCTGAGTCCCAGCCTGTGAAAAAGTGCAGGGAGGAGGGAAGGAAGAACCTGGGACATGGTGCCGGGTCCTGTGCCCTGCCTTCATAGCCAGGCAGCAGTGAGAGGGGCTGCAGAGAGAGGGGCAGAACAGCTAAGGCTCTGCGCTCCTCTGCTAATGGAGCAGTTCCTCTTTTACCCGGCTTATATACTAGGCTCCCTATGGGATTTTATAACAAGAGGTTCTGAGGATAAAAGCCTTTTTTTTTTTAACTATAGCCTGACGAAAGCTGTTAAGTTTCCGCCCTGAATCTAGGCTGTGCTATAAAGATGCACTGGGTCAACAGCTATACAAAGTTTTTGCTTCTGAGAGGTGGGAATGGAGTCCTGGGGTGCTCAGATCCCTCTAACCAGGGATTTGGGAAAAATCCTGTGTGTGTGTGTGTGTGTGTGTGTGTGTGTGTGTGTGTGTGTGTGAGTGTGTGTGTGTGTGTGTGTGTGTGTGTGTCTGTGCGCGCGTGCTGGCACTGGAGCTTAGAATTCAGACCCTCACACTCTCATTTGGCTTTTACCAAAGGCTAGTGCTCCACCAGTTGAGCCACAGCTCTACTTCTAGCCTTTTGCTTGCTAATTGTAGATAAGAGACAGATTTTCCTGCCTGGGCTGGCCTAAAGCTATAATCCTCAGATCTCAGCCTCCTGAGTAGCTAGGATTACAGACTGAGACAACAGTGCCTGGATAAGAGAAGTTTCCTCCCTCCCTCCTTCCCTCCCTCCCTCCTTCCCTCCCTCCCTCCCTTCCTCAAATCTCAAAGCCTCTCTGTCACCTACAGAAATGGTTTTCAAATTCTGCTGTGCATTACAATCACCTAGAAGGTCTGTGAAGGACCTAGGTTTCTGAATCCCACCCCAGAGATCGAGAGAATGTGAGCCTGAAACTCTACATTTTTATCAAGCTCCCAGGTGCTGCTGACCGTGCTTCAAGAACAGTTGGCCTATAAGATCAAGGCCAGCATCCCGAGACCGTCCCTCCAAAGTGGTCCAACTTAGCCTACCAGCCTTATCATTCAGATTCCCAGAGCATTGGCCCAGGTAATTATCCTCTCGCCTGCCCCACATACACCATGCCCCATCTGGTACAAAGCTAGACCTTCCTTCTACCATCTTGCTCCTTCCCATTGCTCAAGGTACAGCTCACATGCCCCTTCTTCCAAGAAGCCTTCCAAGACTTCACCGGAGATCACAGAAATCCCTCCTGCTAGGGCTTTCTGACTCCTGCTAGATACTTTTAAGGTCTCAGTCCAGATCTCACTCTGATATTGGGACCACGGGCCCCAAGACAGGAAGCCCTTCTTCTCTGGGCATCTATATAACTCTGTACAGGCTCAGCACCTGCTTAGTCCCTGCCCACCATAACAGCAGCAAGTCTCTGTACAAGCATCCAGGCATTAAAAAAACACACCAATCAGCTCCTCTTATCTACTCCTTGAAACAGTCCACGATGGATCCATTCTCTAAACAGCTCTGAGAACAGATGGCAGCACTTTTGCCCATCCAATCCATGCAGACAGATTTCCTCTATGTGCTGCAAAACCTCACCAGGAAACATAAATGAAGACCACTCCCATGCTCAGCAAGAAGTTACAGTCATGGGAGGTGCAGCAGTGACTGCAGACCGAGGTCCCCGTCCCAGCTCTGCCTCTGATTAGCTATGGTACTCAGCACTTGAGCTCCAGTCTCTTCCTCCTTAAGGGAGATAACAATAGCATCTTCTTTCCATGGGTGGCAAAAGGGCAAGGACCCATTATGAACAGTGCTTGAGTTTCCTGGGTGCTTAGCATTGGGCATACATTATTGATCTATATAAAGTGCTTAGTGTAGTAGTACTCAAGAACCATTAGCTATGCTAGTGTTCCTAACTTCCATGCAAGACATAGTTGTTTTTATTCTTCTTCCCTTCTTATGTTGGTCTTGAGGTTTAAACTCAGGGCCTAGGTACTGTCATTTAGTGTTTTGTTTTGTTTTTTTCTCAAGGCTAGTACTCTACTGCTTGAGCTACGGCTCCATTTCTGGGGTTAATTGGAGATAAGAGTCTCACAGACTTTCTTGCCCAGGCAGGCTTTGAACTGTGATCCTCAGATCTCCTTAGTAGCTAGGATTATAAGTGTGAATCACTGGCGCCTGGCTAAGACATGTATTATTATCTCCACTTCCCGATGAGAAAATTGAGGCTCAGAGCAATGAGCTTGCACAATAAAATATTAGCCACTTGAACGGTGCAATGGCTGATCTTTATAGCTCCCTTAGGATGCAGTCTTATCCTTATTTTCATGTGAATGAAAACTGTGTAGTTCAAAGAAGGTAACTTGTGAGTGAAGGCTCAGGATTTGAGCCTGATCTTGCACCCCAGGGGAAAGTGCGCCTGCCAGGGTATAGACTACTCTCTATACCCTTCTTATCTGTGACTTCTGGGGAAGCGTTTTCCCCTCCTATCACCGGCCCTGCAATCCCATGACACTCCCTCCCCAAATTTCAATGATCTCAGAGAACAGGTTGCCCACCAAGTATATAACACCCCCTCTTCTTGCCCTGCATGGTACCAAAGGGCACTAAGGAGAACAGAGAGCCCAAGGGGTGGACTGACCGTGACCCCGAAGAAGTTGGTCTCGTTCATGGCGTTGAGGATGATCTGGCCCAGCTTGTGGTCTGTGTAGTTGAAGTCCTGGATGCGCTGGTGGCGGCTGCTGGCATGCAGCGTCTCCATAGCCCTCTGCAGGGTCTTGGCGATGACCCAGATGCCGTCGTAGGCGTACCCATGGAACTTGCTGGGCCCCACGCCAGAGCGCTTGTTGTTGTATTCCCTCTCGTACTGCTGTGGAGTCTGCAAAAGCAAGTGGTGGGGGTGGGCACCAAGTTACATCAGGGGCATTGGGCACACGGGCTCTTCAGTGTCCACTGTGTGCCCTCATGATGCTGAGCCTTGGATCCTCCTCCTCTCCCTTCTCCCTTCACGCCCTCCACTCCCTCTTTTCCTTCCTCCTTCCCTCCCTCCCTTTTCTTCCTTCCTTCCTTTCTTCCTTCCTTCCTTCCTTCCTTTCTTCCTTCCTCCCTCCCTCCTTCCTTGCTTCCTTTCTCCCTCCTTCCCATCCTTCCTTCTCCTTCCTTCCTTCCTTCCTTCCTCCCTCCTTCCCTCCTTCCTTGCTTCCTTCCTTCCTTGCTTCCTTCCTCCCTCCTTCCCATCCTTCCTTCTCCTTCCTTCCTTCCTTCCTTCCTTCCATCCTTCCTTCCTTCCTTCCTCTCTCCTTCTCTCCCTCCCTTTCCCCCTCTCTCCTCCTCTCTTGCTTGCTTGCTTGTTTTGTGCTGTTCCTGGGGCTTCAACTCAGTGCCTGGATGCTGTCCCTGAACTTTTTTTTTTGCTCAAGGTTAGCACCCTACCACTTCAGCCACAGCTCTACTTCCAGCTTTTTGGTGGATAACCAGAGATAAGAATGTCACAAACTTTCCTGTCTGGGCTGACTTTCAAACTGTGATCCTCAGATCTCAGCCTACTGAGTAGCTGACTGGTGTAAGCCACCAGTGCTGGGCCCTTTCCTCTTAATGCTGCAACAACTCAGAAGGTAGGTGTCAGGGCTATTCCCATGTTACAGATGAAAAGACTGGACTAGGGCACAGAACTAGTGAACATGGCTGAGACAGAACCGTCTACGGTACATTACTCAGCAAAGGCAGTAATGCACCTTGTCTAGGCCTCCCCCCTCCTCGTATTTGCAGGGCCAAAGGCTATAGCACTCATGGAGGCTCACACACCTTATGTCTAAACATTTAAGCTATACCCAGGTCATCAAGTGTTCAGTACCAAGGATGTGAAAGACCCAGTTTGAATTCAGAACTGTGGGGCTACTCAGCATTTCAGGCCAGACATTGCCTACTGGGAGCCTGCCTTCTCTAATCCTCTTCCCTTCCCACCCCCCAACAGCTCCAGCCTCTAACCTCAATGATCTGTGGACCCCCAGAGGCAGAGACTGCCCTCAAGAACTGGAGTTGACCCAGGCAAAAGATCCACCCCTGTGCATAGGGAGAGAACACAGGGAATAGTCTAGAAGGCTCCAAGCATGCTGTCCCCCAGGCCTGGTAGAGTCTGAGGCCTATGGGGCGTAGGCCAGGTTCTCTTAGAACATGAACTCTAAGTGTTCATCCCAGCTGCCCAAATGTATAGGCCTCCTGTATCTCCTCCTCTTCTCTTTCACAACACAATTGGGTCTGGGCATAGCTCAATATTTAAAAAAGAAGAATAATGGGTTTTTGTTTGTTTGTTTTTTGCTAGTCGTGGGGTTTGAACTCTGTTGCCTAGACACTGTCCCTCAGCTCTTCAGCTCAAGGCGAGCACACTACCACTAGCCACAGCCCTACTTCCAGTTTTCTGGTAGTTTATTGGAGATAAGAGTCTCAAGGACTTTCCCGCCCAGGCTGGCTTTGAACCATGATCCTCAGATCTCAGTCTCCTGAGTAGCTAGAATTATAGGCATGAGCCACCAGCACCCAGCAAATAAATAGTGTTTTTCTTTTACTGAGCTGAATTTCACAAAAGATTTCATAGGTGACATTCACATTTTGATTGTGGCCATGAAGTACTGAAACTGCCTTTTTGATGCCACCTGGGGATCCACAGCTCTCTGCCCCTCTGGGCCTTTTCTCAAATCACTCTGACCTCCTTGGCCAGCAAAGTCATCAGAGGCCACCGCTTCATCTCTGGAAAAGCCCTCCTTGGGGGCAAATCACACAGAGAAATCACTGATTCCATCCTTGTCTGTGTATACTGGGAAAGGCCCTTAGAATTGGTTAGCCAGGCCTCCTGGGTATACAGCCTGAGGGAGGTCCAGAGACTTACACAAAGCCACAGAGCTTATGTGTGCATGCATGGTCAGATGACCCCCCATCCCACCTCATCTGAATCTTCCTTCTTTGATGCTGAGGTCATCACTGTACTTGGGAAGCCAACCCAAATTGTTTTTGACATCTAGTAGTCAGGGAAGGGAGTTGATGTGTCATCAAAAGCAAGGCCTTTAAGCTGGCTGCCAGAGGCTCACACCTATAATCCTAGCTACTTAGGAGACTGAGGCCTGAGGATCACAGTTCAAAGCCTACTTGGGAAAAGTCCCCATGAAACTTTTATCACCAATTGACCACTGAAAGTGAAGCTGTGGTTGAAAGTGGTAGAGCACTAGCCTTGAGCAAAGGAGCTCAGGGACAGAGCCACAGTGCTCAGGCTCTGAGTTCAAGACCATACAACCAGAATAAAAAGCAAGGGTTTTGGGTGGGTGGGGCCTACCATGACAAGAAGCAGGGACTCTTGTGGGGTCACCCACACAGGTGGTACATCTGCCTGTCCAGACATGAGCCTGTCCCAGCCGCAGGGCTTCCTACTTTGCTAGGCGGGCATGCAACCATGTAACCATGTGAGCCACACACCCAGCTCTTTTGTGCTTCATTTGTGTTTTAGATAAGGTCTTCCCCCTCCCTCCCCCCCCCCCCCCCCGCTTTTCTCCCCCCTCCCCCACCCTGGCCCCTGGCGCGGCCCAGCCTAGAATTCAAGCCTCCTATCTATTCCTCCCACATAGCTGGGACTACAGGTGAGTCCCAGCACACCTGATTTATTTGTTAAGATGGGAATCTAACAGTGTGCCTGGCCTGTCCTCAAACCATGATCCTCCTGATCTCTATCTCCCGTTTCTGGGATTAAGGTGTGAGTCACTGCACCTGGCATTGTTCTTTCTCGTCTCAGGTCCTGTTTGGGAAGCTCAGGCTTTCTCTCAGCTCACAGTTTCCCTTGGAAGCGCAGCGTCTCCAGCCATCACGGCTGTGTCTCTCATGGAAAACACACAGCAGTGTGTCCCTGGGGTTCCTCTAGAAGCCAGCCTGCTTCTCTGCCAGCACAGCTAGTCTATCTGAGCCACCCAGTTAGTCACACACTGCTGCCCACCATAAAGGCTCAGTGTTTGTCCAGGAAGGCAGGCTTTGAAGTGTTGTCATCATTTGTGGCCATTTCCAGTCCTCCTGGGATCATGCAGGGGTCCAGAATGAGGTGTGCTGTCTTCCTTAAACCTCTTGGTCCTTCATTCCATCAAGTTTGCTTGCACCCCAGGGCTTTTGCTCTGGTTGTATGCTGTATCCAGAAACGTCTCCAGCTCTGTGCCTCCTGAAGCTGAACCCCAGCTCTCTCTCTTCTGTCTTTACTTAGGATTGTGTGTCCATCCACCCCTCCCTCACACTCCACTAGTGTTAGGCTCCATATGTGTTCTAATTGCTGACCTGTCTTGTCTTCAAACCAGACATACCTGCTCAGGCCCCCCCTCCGTTTTATTGCTTGGTTGTGGGGCTTGAACTGTGCTGTTCCTGTCTTCAGCTCAAGGTGAGCACTCTACCACTTAAGCCCCAGTGCCACTTCTGGTTTTCTGGTGGTTTATTGGAGTCTCACAGACTGGCTTTGAACTGTGATCCTCAGATCTCAGCCTCCTGAGTAGCTAGGATTATAGGCATGAATCACCAGCACCTGACTACTCAGGCCCTTTGTACACCTCTATTTTTCCATCTCTAAAATTCAGGAAAATACCTGTTCATATACTACAGGGCCAAAGAATTCACTCCAGATAGAAATAAAGGTACAATTCCACTGTGAATGAAAGTACTCCCTGCCCTGTGTCTTTGGCAATAGGAATTTTCATTTTAAAAATCATTGTCAGTTTGCTAAAATAAAAAAAGAAGAAAAATAGTCTCTTATTTTCAATTTTCCTATCTCTGATTGATAGCGTGAGAGTGAGCTAATTTCACATACTGACCAATAGTTCTTTATTTTTTGGGTAGTTTCTTCTTCTCATCACATTGCTATGGTGATAGTTATATCTTTTAAAGGTTTGTTCTGGTGACTTGTTATTTTCCATCTTTTATTACTTGGCTGTGTTTTCTTTGGTTTCAAATGTGATTTCTGGTTGTGAATTTAGATGTTTCTTAAGTATTTAAAAGTTACTTTGGAGTACATCTCTCTGATTCATCTCTCTAAGTATAGGATGATGAGGCCTTTTGATTTCTTCTGTCCTACTAGATTGCTCGTAGGAGTAGTCTCCTAGGTAAACGAAGGCATCCAAGGGTGATGGTATATGTGTTAGTCAGATTCCTATCACTATAACCAGATGCCTGAGACAACCAACTTACAAAGAAGAAAGTGTGTTTCGGGCTCACATTTTTGAGGTTCAGTCCAGGTTAGGTTGGCCCCATTGTTTTGACCATGGTGAGGCAGAGCAACACGGCAGGGAAGATGTGGAGAAAACCCACTCATATCACCAGAAAAGGAGCAAAGAGAAAGAAGCAGCCAGGGGTCCCACAATCCCCTTTTATTTTTTTTTTTTTGAGGCAAATTCTCTCTATGGAGTCGAGATTGGCCTGGAAATCATGATCTTACTATTTCAGTCTCTTGCATGCTTTTATTACAGGTATATGCCACCATGCCTAGTTTTCAGATGATATTTCTAGACATTTCTCCAACCAGAATGTGGTTCTGGATCATCCTTCAAGGCTTTTATTTAAAGTAGGAGATCTGGACCTGAGGTGGACACTCCTAGATATAGTCTCACCAGGAGGTAACTGAGTTTGTTTGTTTGTTGGTCATGAGGCTTGAACTCAGGACCTGGGCCTGTACCTGAGCTCTTTTGCTCAAGGCTAGCAGTCTACCACTTTGAGCCACAGCTCCACTTCCAGTTTTCAAGTGGTTAATTGGAGATAAGAGTCTCACAGCCTTTCCTGCCTAGCTGGCTTTGAACTGCAATCCTCAGATTTCAGCCTCTTGAGTAGTTAGGATTACCAGTGTGAGCCACTAGTGCTGGGCTA